GTGGGGTGGGGGGGGGGGGGGTGGCGGGGGGGGTGTGTGAAAAGCCACTGCAGTAAATTCAACAGAACAGCTTGAAAATAAATGTCAGAGGAATGTATTTGTAATGCACAAGACCAAAAATATTAGCTTTTGAAGGCAGGCCTCATAAAAGGGCTAGGCACACTGACCTGCTAAAGAAAACCTAGTACCTAATTGAGTCTGGGGCTGTATCTTGCAGGCATGGTCTAGACTGGCTAAACCTTGCGACCTTTCCACTCCTTGAACATTTTGAAAGCTGATAATTTGTTATTCCGGTTCCACCAACGATCTGCACAGACTCAGTGCCCTACAGAGGGGGAGCTGATTTGCACACAAGTCCTGCTAGTGAACCGCTACCAAATCACCCCAGTGGTAGCATCCTGTAAAATGCACAAAGGGGCTGACTCATAAGCAGATGACACAACAGCAAAGGGATGTTTTAACCGAGCAGGATGATTACACAGACACCATAGGACACAATGAACGTCATCTTACACACAAGTCTTCTCCATCATAGGAGTCAGCTATGAGCTTCTGAGAACAGCAGGGGTTTTGTGGGATTTGAAAACAAGATGTTACTCTATCCCAGAGAGAGACCGCAAAGATAATATGTGTGAAGCAGGCGCTATCAAGCTGCACTGAGTTTAAGGAGCTGTGATATTAATGACACAGAGAGTGTAGGCAGGAGGAGATGAGATCAAAGGTCTGCTGGAGTTAGAGCAAAATATGGTAGAGTTTGCAAAACCACAAAGTAAATTTTAAATTAATTCTCTGTTGAAATGGAACAAGGTGAAATTGCTTTTCCTACAGGACAGATGGAGGAAAGCAAGCCCTTCCCTGTTCTTTGACCTCATTAAAATGATTTATTTTTTTAATTAGCCAATAGGTTCAGAAAATGTTTACAACCTGCAAGAGGTAGTGGTACCTTTTCAATGCTAGTTGCATCTGGGAACTAGTACTGTTCACCCTCCTCATCCATTTCTTTCCATCTGAAGGACCAGAAATCCACTGTGATCTCTCTGAAGAAGTTGATCGTACGAGAAGTGGCTCATGAAGAGAAGGGTTTGTTCCTGATCAGTATGGGTGTAAAAGATCCTGAAATGGTGGAAGTCCACGCCAGCTCCAAAGAAGAGCGTAACGGCTGGATACAGATCATTCAAGACACAATGAACACCATGTAAGCTACCAAGCTTGTTCTTGCAAGGCACGTGATGCACATGGTCGTGTTCAGGTAGTAACTGAGATGTTTCTCTCATTCAGGGATAAAGATGAAGACGAAGGAGTCCCTTGTGAGTCTGAGTTTGAAAAGAAAGTGTCGGATGCGAAAGTGAGAGGACTGAAAGGTAAAAACCTGCCTGGGACAGAGCTGCGGAGTGGTTTTTGAAAAATTTAAAGGAATTGTTTTGCTGCATTTTGTGGTTGAACTATGGCTTCTTTCAAAAGAGTGAGAATCCTGCATCCCGCAGATAATTGCAATCCTTGTATGCACCTCACCTTGCTTGCATTATTTTTTTCTGAGCCTGCTGGGTGCCATTGCAGTGCAGGAGTGCTGTATCATCAGGTTCCACTAGATGGGGCCAATATCTCGTGAAACGCTCCGTTTCCTTGCTGAAGCTTTCATTTTCTGCCTTCATCTCTGTTTTCTGTTCACCCCCACAGAACAACTTCAGAAGAAGGATAAACAGATCCTCCTCTTGCTGGAGGAGAAGGCTAAGATCTTCCGGGACATGGCAGACAGCTCTGTGCAAGAGGACATGCCAGGCTCCAGGCTGCTCTTCAGAGCCAACACAGAAGAGGCACCAAAAGGAGAGGCCATTATGAAAACTGCAATAAATGAAGGTGAGCAAGTCAGGGTGACACGTTAATTACACTAACCAACGCACCTGCCTTCAGTGAAGCACCAGTTTTGCAGGGGAAGTCTATGTCAGAATAACAGCATAGATAAGGAGATATTGCTACTCACGGTATTGTCTCAGGGACAGGTAATGAGGATCAGGAAAGAAAGCAGATACTGATGACTGTTGAAAGAGGGCAGCGCAGGATTTATCCTTGGCTGAAATTTGGACCATCCAGGCTTTTGCTGTGCTTCAGTCTCAGCAAGGTGTGACAGGGAGCTTGGATTCCAGCAGGCGCTTGTGGTGCCTGCAAGGGACAAGCAAGTCTGTTGACAAATGCAAGGGTAGATGGAAACTCGGGCAACTTTCTGGTGTGATTTTTGGAGAGGCTAAAAATTATTAAATGCTGTTGTCAGAACACACCAGGGTTTCCTGGAGGAAGAGAGGAAGGTGTAAGCTGATGCAGAACTCCAGGAGTTGGAGTAAATGGTCAGACAGACTGAGTTTTTGCAGGGGGAATGCTACTGTTCACATCATTGTCATAGAAACATGGTTTCTTAGTACAGCAAAGCATATGAATGTCTGACCTGAGCTCAAGTAGGGGTGAAAATAGCTCAGAAGCCTGAGGTGGTCTTTAACAGAGATATTGTTGCTTTTTATCAGTTGAACTGCTGCAAGACCTGGTGAACAGGAGCCTGGGCACTGCCCTCGGGCAGCAGGTCAGCAGCAGTGCCATGGAACAAGAAGGAGGAGTTGGCCCCATCTCTCTTCCTAGAAGGGCAGAAACTTTTGGAGGATTTGACAGTCATCAGATGAACGCCTCCAAGTGTGAGTAGTTACATGTGTGCACATCAGCATTTGTTAATAGTACATGTTATTGTATCCTCTTGCTTCAGAAGGACTCCAGCAGCTGGTGATTTGGGTTTCCCAACTCCAATCCAATAATAGTTGATAGATTAAATAACAGATTAGGAAAAAAGCCCCAAGTACAGGTGGAATGATGGTAGTTGAGAACCTGTGGCTACATGAGGATTAAACATCTGAACTCCTCACTGCTCTCTCTCTCTATGCTCTCTCTAAATCACCCTTAATCACCTTTACTTACATGCCACATGGAAGCATTTGGCTTCTTAATAGATTAGTTTCTTCATGCTCTTACTGTAATATCTGCAGCTCTGTTCTTTGTTCTTCAGTTATCTTCCAGCAGGAGCCTGGTGCTGTTGCATTTGTGAATGGATGAAGATATTGCTGAATCAAGCACCTTCTCCCCTCGCTGTTCCACATACAACTGCATGTGTTATTCCTGCAATTAAGTCTCTCCCAAAGAAATGTGTGAATATTTATTTCAGCTGCATAGTTGGCTGCTTCCCAATGCTCTCTTTCTTTGCCCTAGTCATCAGAAACTTCCCTGTCCTCAAATTCCTTTCTCTGTGGTCTCACTCATACTCCCAATACAGCCAGTTTTGCTGCGCTAGTGTCTGTCTCAGTATTGGGATCGCTGGACCTCGTCTGACCTTCTGCATTAAAGGAGCAGTGTTAGCTCCAGACAGTCAGACATGAGAAGTATGTAGAGGTTTTCTCAGCTCTATTGGAAAGCTGCAAAGCCCCCCACAGGCCTTGTCATCATAATGACAAATACATTCATGCTGGAGGGGTTTATTTAGGGTTGTGCCTCTCTCTGCTGCAGTGATGAATGGGACAACCTCAGGCTGTTCATTGCCCAGCTCTAGGTTTTCTGTAGAAATGTCCTCTTTTGAATTAGATTGTAATTCAATAGTTGTAGGGTCCTGGGAGAATTTGGGAAAAGAATGCAGGGCCTGTTTGTTCAGCTGGAGGCCGGGAGGCATGAAACCTAGCTTTCATCTCCAGTTCTTCTGTTCACAACCTGTGCAACCTTGGGCAAGGCTTATAACCTGACTCCCCTTCGTTCTCCCCTCCAGCAAAGCAGAAGGGAGGTGTTTCCTCCTGCAAAGAGGTGGAAGGTCCCAGGACGTGGCGCAGGAGAGAAGGTCTGTTAGGAGGACCTGAGGGTCAGCCTTTAATAGCAAAGCCTGCCTGGGGGGTGGTGGGAGGAGAGGGCCTTTGCACTAGGTACAGTGTCCTTGACATTGCTGCAGATACAGGTGTATGTAAAGTTGTTTATCTTTAAAAGAGTGGCAGTAGGGAGGTTACCACTGCAGGTGTGGGTTTTCCCCATCTCAGCTGGCCAGGGGAATGCAAGAGTCTTGGCGAGAGCTAGAGGACCGAAGAGCTGTGCGACTCAGCCGCCTGTGAGCAGAAGGGCGGTGCAGCTGGAGGGTTGCAGCCTTCTCGGCCCCACAACTCAGTTCAGTCCTGCTCGGGAGGACTGATATGAGCCATCCAGGGGAAAGTTAGAAAGAGAAGTCCAGTGTCCCTTTGAAGAGACAGGTTTCTGATAACTAAGCTTAAGGATAAATTGTTAGCATAAAATTAAACAGGGTATTGTGCATCAGTATCTGACCCAGCTGTAAATTGCACTTGCACAAGAGAGGCAATAATATACCCTGATATGATACTGTTATTGTTCTCCATCTGCTCTTACTCAGCCTCATGTCTTCTCAGCAAGTATTCTTTGGTAGTAGACAGCAGTGCGGGGCCTAGACAGAGCACCAATTAATAGGAGTGTGCCGAATTTTTCAGCACGTTGTCTGAAACCAAAGTCAATCCTAATCTGAATTCACATCCACTTTTTCTGGTGGTGCTGACGTGTTCTGTATACGTAGGGAGCAAATGCATTTAGTTAAAGTGTCAAGAGCTCTGTGTCCCCTTTTGTGAAACATCTGAGTTTCCTGTATTAAATTTCTCAGACATTAGCAAGTTCATCTATGGCTTAAAATGTTGAATAACCAGTGTCAATGCTGGCTTCGTCCTTTAGGTGGAGCGAAAGATGAAGGCGACGATGCTCAGGATCTTCGGAGAACAGAGTCGGACAGCATTTTAAAGAAGGTATCGCTTGGTTTATCTAACTGCTGCCACTGAGTTCAGATTTCAAGAAGGTGACAATTCTAGTCTTGAAAAATGCCTGAATTTCTTGACAATTAGGTGTATCCTAATAAGTTAAAAATAAAGTAAAATTGAAAGTATGCAGCCAAAGCCACTTTGCTATAGTTAAAATCCTGACTTGAAAACTGTTGCAAATCAGTTGTATTCCTTTGTGGCACAGGTTATCTGCCATCTGTCTGCAGATCAGCTAAAGCATGTCTTTAATTATGCATCGTTATTGAAATTATAAGGTCAACTATAACCTTGAATCTATTCTTGTTGTGGATCGATCCATCATATAACTACAAAATGATACCTAATTAACATTTTATTTTGTATGATTTTAACTTGCCTAAAATACATGCATGAATTCTCCCAGAATGGAAGATAGAGGGAGAGTTTAGTGTGTCTGTCATTAGTTCAGCTTCAGAACACATTTGCTGTGATTTCTCATTTGTCCTTATATTAAATCTGTGATCTTTTCACAGGGTGGAAATGCTAATCTGATGTTCATGTTGAAAAGGAATAACGAGGTAAGAATTGATTCCGTTGCTCAGCTGTTTCCTTCATTTAAGTGGCAAGTGAATTTGTTTCAATAGGTGATAATGTAGAAGAAAATACATTTCATTTGCTGAAGCGCATGCAGACTTTTAAATACATTAAGCTGAACCCACTGTGTCATTTATTTGTTTAACCTTAGATGTTCAGACAGGGAATTCGCTGATTGTCACCTGCTTGCCAGTAGGATGATATGTGCTGATTACAGGCAGCAAGGGTTAATTACCACTAGGATGTGCAGGGCTGTATTTATTGTGCATCTGCAGACAGAGGGAGTTTAATTTTATGTTGCAGGTGCAGTAAATTGGGGCAATTAGATTTCTATTCTCCCTTTGATACACATTCATAACTCCCAATTAGCATTAATGGCAGAATGAGAAGCAGTTCTCTTAATACTGGCTATCACACTATTGCAAATATTGCAGTGGTTTTTCTTCTTCTTAAAAGTAATTGTAGGATATGAGAGATTCAGAGAAATTTTTAACTAGGCTAAAAATACGTTTAGGGATAGGGCATTGCTCCGAATTAGCTTGCTCTGTATTGATGCACGATGTGTTCGCATTTACCTGTATTTTCAGAGAGCCTCCATGAACACACCTGCTGTACTTGTGTGCCTGCTGTATTGCAGTTTTTCTGTCTAATGACAGTGGGTCTTGTATGGGTCAGCCAGGGGTGGAAGAGTACAAATAATCCACATTCATTTTAAGATTTCTTCTTTTTTCGCCCCTTGAAGTTCTTTCCCTGAAATTTTTAAGTGAACTGCCGGGTTTCATCCCAATTACTCTGCTTGTTCTTGAGCAAGCTGATGCTGTGGGAGATGGTTTGCAGAGACAGCCCAGGAGTCCCCATGAGGTCTGTGCCGTTCGGTGCTTCTATTTCCTCCCCTGCCTCACTGATGGCTAGGACAGTGATGAAGATGATGCCAGGCACCTCTGAGAGATGTCCAAGGGATGTATTTGTGTACTGGGGAATGATGCAGTCATTGCAAGTGAAGAGTGAGAAAAACGAAGGTGTAGAGGGATAGCCGTATAGCTTGTCCGACCCACTGGTGGATCACAGTGGAAAAGGAGGGTGCTTTACGCGTTCCCTGGCACCCAGTGAGATCTAATAGCAACGCTTTTGTTTTCTCGCAGCAGGTCCTCCAAACCATTACCAGCCTCCATAAGCTGCTCAGTGCTTTGCAGGTAGGCTTGGCCGTTCATCCCGCTTTTGCATGCTGCTTGCCCGAACTGAGCATCCCACCAGCCAGTAACAGCCACTCGCGCTTTGCCCCCCATCTCCCCTTCCCCTTTCCTGTCACATCCCTGCATGGCTGAATACCCTGCGGCCGCCTTGCAGGCAGCATGCCAGCAGGTCACAGGAATGAGCTGCTGCCTACGGGAACTGGTGCTCGTCTGAATTTGGGAAGCTGCTGGGGGAGATGCTCTGCCAGCATCCTGTGGTAGCCCAGCCGTAAGGCAGCAGTGCTGAGTTGTGAATTTGGTGGGAGAAGAAGGGGTTCGATACAGCACCCTGAGGTTTTCAGGGGTGGAGCCTCTCTCTGTAGAGAGGGCGTTGCAGTGGTTTGTGTCCCCTCTCTCCTAGGGCGTCGTGCTGCAGCAGGACACCTACATCGAGGACCAGAAGCTGGCTCTGAGCGAGAGAGCTCTGACCCGAAGCTTCTTCCGGCCGACCTCGCTGCTGGAGCAGGAAAAGCAGCGCAACCTGGAGAAGCAGCGCCAGGAGTTGGCCAACCTGAAGAAGCAGCAGACACAGCACCAGGAGGAGAGGCGGAGGAGAGAGAAGGAGTGGGAAGTCCGGGAGAAGGAACTGGCAGAGCAGGAGGCCCACCTGGCCCAGCGAGAAGAGCAGGTCCAGAGAGGGTGGCAGGATCTCGAGCGGGAGCAAGAGGAGCTGCAGGTGAAGAAGGCCTCCTACCAGCTTGACCTGGAGAGGCTTCGTACGGCACAGAAGCAGCTGGAGAGGGAGAAGGCGCAGTTCAAGCAAGACGTGGAGCGATTAGCTCAAATGCGGCAGGAGCCTGACCACAACCAGGTAAACGCTGCCAATAGCCGGGGTGCTGGGGAAGCCATACCCTGCAGGGAGCTCCTGTACGGTTCCTCGGCCAACTGCATGCCAGCAGTGATAGACTGATGCCAGCCCGGCCCTAGACACACAGAGCCTGGTATTTAAAACTGGCTCTTTCCTTGCACGTGATGTGCAGGGCCGCATTTCTTGCACCTCCAGAGCTGCTGAGGCATTGCCAGTGTTGATGCAACAGGATGTGTTCAGGATGCCTGACCAGTCCTGAGCAGTAGGTGGTTACAACAGCCTGAGCTCTGCCCATTTTTCTGTGCCGCGTGTTGGCAGACGGCAGAGCAGAGGTGGCTGGCTTGCAGAGAAGATGCCCTAGGCATCCCCAGGAGGTCGATATTGCCTTTGATGTTGGCCTTCACCCCATGGGGGCTGAGCTCTGGGGAGCGGTCAGGCAGATGAGATGTCCTTCTCAGAAACGCTCTGAGGGTTGTGGGTTACGTGCACCCTCCAGCTGTCACGAAAGCCACTTGTGAGGCTCATAACTGCAGGGGAAGGCTGTTTGTACGCTTACATCCATCTCCAAAAGCATTCTCGGTATCTAGCAAAGATAGCATTGTCCTTGTCCTAAAGAGACTGGGCACCTGCAGTCTGGTCATGGCTCAGCGAGCAAAGGTCCCTGGCTCTGCTGCAGGAGGCTTCTGGTGTCTGGCTGCCCACAACCAGAAAGAAAAGCGCACACAGATCCTGCTCTGTGCATTTTTCAGCAAGCTGGGGTTTGTTTTTTTATAATTGTGCAGCAGTCTGGCTGAGCAGAGCAAGCATCCATTGGCAAACATGGGCTGAATTTGAACCTTAAGCCTGTTGTTGATCGTTTGTTTGTTTGTAACTCACTAATTCTGAATGTAATTTGCTTAGAGCTGTAGCAAGATTAGTTTATAAATGTTGGATTGCGGAATGGAAATGATTTTGGGTGCCTGAATGGACTAATTGCAGAGCTCAGCAGTGAGCTCTGAAAAGCAAATCATCAGCTTGCTCCCTCCCACCCCCATTCCTGATCAGGCCAGAAGTTTTCCGAGTACACAGTGAAGCTGTGAAGCATCGAGCACACGTAGACATACGAGGTGCATGGATGCTATGGGAGAGGCTGAGAGGTGAAATAACTGCAAAGCCTGGGGGATCAGGAGAAGGAAGCACCTTTTTGAGGCAGGTATCTTACTGACGTTTCAGAGCTATTAATAGAGAGTTTGGTGAGGCTTTGTTTTGAGCTGTTGTTTTGATCTTCCCTTTGAATGCACGGGCTCAATTACATCCTGAGACAGCCGTTAGGAGAAAAAAAAAAAATCAGGAAAAATGTTTTTGCTTTCATCTTTTGCTTGGGAAGGCTTTCTTTGACACACACCGCTCTGGTGCTGTGTGCTGGCATTCCCCTGCCGGAGAGGCACGCTTCTCCTTGGCCTTCTGCCACCATCTGTGTGCACGAACGATGCAGGGTGAGTCTTGGTATCGAGATCTTAGAGAATATTTGCCCTTGGCTTGTTGATATATAGCATAGTACATGTAGGAGCAAAAGATACTGGAAGATTACTTTTTATATGCATCATTTCTTCGTCTTAAACAGAGAGGGCTTCTTCTCTCATTGCTTTGCCTGGATGGGGACCACTTTTTAGCTGGTGGATGGGCTGGATGTTCACAAGAACAACATCTGTCTCTATGAGTGGTCTGGGACACACCTTTGCTATGCAGGTTCTCTGCAAGCCTCTTTCATGCCCCAATGAAACACTTTTCTTTTCTTTTATAGGTTTCAAATCTACATGAGAAACTTGCAAGAGTCGCCTCCCAGTCCAGCATCGATGACTCCTCCAAGAAGAGCCCTTCCCTTCCTAAACAAGGGCACTTTGATGCAGAACTGTCTGTCTCCCCCAAAAGGAACAGTCTTTCAAGGACACACAAAGAGAAAAGCACTTTCCATTTGCTTAGCACAACAAACCAGACTAACAAGGCAGCTGAGGAACAGCCCCAGATGCCTACCCGCCTCTTCAGTTTAGCCAAACCAAAGGAGAAGAAGGAAAAGAAGAAAAAGGGCAGGGGACATCGCTCCCAACAGTCTGGTGAGTGTCAGGGGAGGTCATAGGTGTGTTTTCAGGGTCAGTGAGCTGGCTTTTCCCTCCAGCCAGCGAACTTGTGGAAGCCACGAAATCTCACCTTGAATGTGGATGGTAACACGGGGATGGAGAAGATCAGCTGTGATGAGTGGAGTTCCCAGCTTGAAGTGATCTTCTGTGGGCTTTTCTGCCTGTTCTGCAGCCTGTGGGGTTGTCAGAGGGACACAGGTTGTCAGAGCTCCCTGCTCCTTCCCTTCCCCATCCCATCCTGAGCAGCCTCTATGGGCTAGATTCTCCCTTTATTTTTCAGCTTGCTCTGCTTCGAGGAGGAAGATGTCCCGCTTCAGTGCATGTGCTTTCAGGAGCTGCTGCTGGGATGTTCCTGGCTGTTGCAGCCCCTGCAGCATTGCTGTCTGGTTTAAGTCTGTTGCAGTTTGGAAGTGATACCCGCAACCCTTTTGGTGGCCTCTCCCTTCCCCTCAAGCCGGTCTATCTTGTCTCTTGATCTAAAAAAAAAACATGCTTTTTTTTTTCTCTGGTAGTTTTGCATGCCCTTAGGACTCAGTTCTGCACCTCAGACCTCTGACCCACATGAAATTTGATGTCACGCTCTCAGATGACCAGCTTTATCCATATTGACTTATTGATGTTTTCCAACTTGTACACAGGAAAGGTCACCAATTACGAGATGTAATTTCACGGCAGCTCATCAGGGAACTGGACATCTCTTATGGTGCCCAGTGGATTTGGCAGATAGCAGGGTTTCCGTGCACGTGGAGTCCTGCTCTGCCTGCTGTATTCCTGTATTCCCATAATGATTCCCACCTGTTTTTTTGTGCTGCAGATTCTCACTCATCAGAAGCACCTCCAGAGGGTGAGGAGATCTTCTGCTGAGCACGGACGGTTCCATCGGTCATTCTCGGCATTGGTACAGTGGACATCTCCCTGCCCGCTCCACAGCACGCTGCTGGTGCCTGCATCTGACAAGCATCTGGAGGTTTTAAATACAACATGTTATGAAGGCTGTTAAGTGGTGGGAAAGGGCCTCTCTCCTGTGGTTTTGTGTGAATTCTCACCACAGAGGCTGACTGCACGGCAAGTAGTACCGTCTCTCTGTGCAAACCTTGGGTTATATGGATTGGGATAGATGTTTTCTGTCTCTTCTTACTGCTGAAGGGTGAGAGAACATAGCCTTAAGGGGATGTGCCTTCAAATTCCCCTTTTCTGGGGAAGGTAACCAAAACCAAGCATTTAGCAAAAGATTAGGACTCTACAAATGGTGCGTACACACTGGCATATATAGATATACTGTATATATACATATATGTATCTATGTATCCACTGGGATATGCTTACAGTCTGTACAGCCAAGCTCAGCTCGGCCCGTGGGGATAGATGATACCTGATGACTTTCAGGGAGCGTGTAGATATTAAATATCTTGCCCTTATGCTCCAATTGTAATGCCATTGACTTGCACGCCCCTTTTGTGCTCATGGTGTGTGGACTGTTTGGTTTCAGAAAGGTACCTTACACCAGGAAGTAGTAACAGCGTTCAAAACAAAAATTCAGAGGAAAAAAAAAAATTGAAGTAATTCCGGAAGATTTCCATGGGGCAGAGGATTTAAATGTCAAACTGTTTCCAGAATCAAGCAGAATGTCTTTGGGTATATTTAAAACGATACAGAAAAGAGAAATGCGGTAGGCTTGTAAGGCAACCCCAGGAAGCCAGGACAAACAGTGTTTAAGTGGGAACAACTCTAAGCAACATTTTTTTATGCAATCTCTTTGAGCTCCAGCTCACTCCTTCCCATCCCCTAAGTAAAGATTTTTTTTTTTTGCCAGAATATAGTTCTCCAAGTTGCATTTGGCATCCCTTCATTACAAGCCTGATAACTTACTGGAGAGATGGCTGAAAATCTGCTTTTAGGGACCTTTGTTCTGTTATTTGTATTTTTCTTCCCCTACTTTTTGTGTTAACGTTGGGCTTCTGTTTTCTGGATTTGTCAGCTTCCCTTGCTCGTTTCTAAGGCAGAATGAGACAACAGCAATTTCAGAGCACTTCAGTGAGATGTCACAGGTCAGGGGGCTGAGTGCTGTGAGCAGAGCGAACTCCAAAGAGGCGGTTCCTAGTTCCTATGCCTGTACAATACCATGCAATTATTAACCATTTCTGGGGAGAGAATACATTCTTATGGACAAAAACACAGTGGGACAGGTCCAAAGGTCCAGCGTGGCAGGTCCGTTTCCATTGCTGTGGGCTCTAGGGTGAAAGTGTCTGTGTGTCCCCGTGTTGCCATCAGCAGAAGGGGAAGGTCTGAGGGTGTCTCTCGCTACGCCGATTGTGAGGTGTTTGTACAGCTGTTGAATACAAGGATGTGTTCAGCGGTGGAAAAGAAATGCAGCAAGCCAAACTTTTTTCCAAAATTATTGGTCTTCCAAACCCTCTCAGGGGAATTGCCCAAGTGGATTTGTAAATGGTTACGAGACACTATCAGCTTCAAAATAGCTCAAGGGTTTGCTCAGAGTTTGAAACTGTCAAGTGCATTTCCTTTCCTATCAGTTTTTCTTCAAAAAAAAAAAAAAATTTCTCTTCTTGCACTATTGTTTTATTTCAATTTGCTCTCTGGCTTCTCACAAGCTAGTAACCCACAGCAGTTTTCAGAGTTCGGTGCTGATGAGTATCAGCAGCATTGATGGTGAGGTAGATGCTTAGACTGGTCTGTCTTGGTCAGTGCAGGAATCCTAAACCACCTGCGTGCTTTTGAAACTAGACCAAATTGAAAAAAAAAAAAAAAAAAAAAAAAAAAGGAAGAAAGGAAAAAGGTTTGAGATTTATTTTTATTTTGCCTTTTTTAATATTATTTGGTGCTTGTTCTTAATTGCAAGCAGGGCTTGCAAAAAATATTTATCTTTCTGTTTATTTGAAAGAGTTCTTTTTTAAAAAGGAGTTTACTTGGGTTTATTTTTTTATTTCTTTCTACTTTTTATTTTGCTTTTGTTTGGGGGTTTGAGGGGTGGTTTGGTTTTTTTCTTTCCCTCTTTTTTTTTTTTTTTTGTTTTTGTTTTCTTACCAAGAGATTGGTAAACCAAATGTTCTTATCTCCCTGGTTCCTACAAAACCAGGGTTTGGGCATGCTGCTTAGCAGCCCATGCCATGCCCAGAGTTACCCGATTTCAACTGAGAGCTTTCTTTAAGGCAGAGCATATTTGGGCCAAGAAAGTCTGGAAGAAGAAGCAGTGACTTCAGACAAGACTCCTCCTATCAGTTAGTTTCCTTGTTAAAGTATTTTGTTTAGGTTTCCTCATACCTGTTGGAGGCAAAGGAAAAAGCAAAAGATGGAGCGTCTTGCAGTGATCTGAGGGCCCGGTCTCTTGTCCAGGGAGATCCAGGCAGCTCTTCTCCTGAACCTGAAAGGAGCTGGAGGAGTCATGTGCTAGTGTTCTGGTGTTATCTTTTTCATAAGCAAAACACCGATTTCACAAAATAGCTTCTGCCCTGCTATTATCTGTGAAAATGAATGTGCCAAGCTGAAATTTTTTGAAACCAAAGCAGTGCATGGCTCATGTACTGTTGTGTAAACAGAGATCAGGTCCCTGGTATTTCTGAAAGTTCCCCTCAGTCTGTAATAGCCTTTACCAGTATGAGCTTTTCTTTTCATCTCACAGTCTTTTCCCAGTCCCAACACATCTTGAATTCGCGACACGGGAATGTCCCATGGCTCCAAGAAGGGCATCAAAAGGGAGACGCATGACCCAGGGCAGCAGGGCTGAGTCTCTGCCTGGCTTGACCATCTCTTCTGACCTGTGCAAATCAAAAAGAGCATTCAGTGCCCTAACTGAAAATAGTATTTGCTAAGCGATCTCTAGGATCCCCATGGTTCCTTGTCAAAGAAACCACGGGCATGAGTCAGAAATATACTGACCAGAAATACTGCATATCAAAGCTGTTTGTGTCTTAAATTCTGGTGGACAGACCTTAGTCCCCGGAGGATGTGTGTTGCTGTATGATTCACTTTTTTGGAATGAAGCCTTTACTCCCACACTGCTTCCTCCTTCTTTCACCTTTAGGAAGGTGAGGGCTTGTTTTTATGTCTTTAGCCTTTTATTTTTCCCCTCTCAGGTTTTCGTTGGAGAGGCTTGGCATAGGTTCCCAGAGTCAGATTCCCACTCTGATTCTTGCAGGTTGCCTAGGGTTGTCTGCTAGAGTATGGTCCCAGCTTTATAGCACCAAAGCTTTTCCTCTTCCTGGCCTTAAAATTGCATTTGCTCCAGTTCCACACCTGGCATCCATCCTGCAATTGTTGAAAGCATGTTATTTCTTCAGCCCAGCCTGATGCTGTATCTGGTTCCCAGAGCCAGTCCCTTGATCCCATTTGGAGCACTCAAACCACCCTATTTTGCATTGGGTTCGAAGCCCATACTGTTGGAGGGAGAAGAGAACCCTGCAAGGGCTCTTGGAGTTTTTTGTGCTAGTGTTTCATGGAGGGGAAAAAATCAGACTTTCTTTTCTTGGGCTTTTCTTTGCCTGGTCTTTATCACTGCCCAACAGAAGGGGTTTCAATGACCAGGGAAGTGGGAGCGCTGGCTCAGATGAAGTACAAAAGTGGTCAGTATTAGCTGGGGGTGCCAGAATATCCCGGCGATAGAGAGTAGCTGTAGCAAACGTGTGAGACTCGATGGAGTTGTGTGAGGTTGGCCTTAGCTTCTTTTAAATGAAGTGATCATCTCAACATGTAACTTGATGTCAGTTTGATGCCATAAAGCACTTTAAATGGAACTGGTCTTGTCCCTTTTTATTTTGGTTACGTGGAGACAATCAGCTTTGCCATTGCTCCCCCCTCTGCATCCCCAGCAAAATCTGAGCTGCAAGTAGGCATATTCCTGGTTTGGTTTGGCTTTACCCCAGGAGGGGAGGAAGGGCCAAGCTTTTTGTAAAATTTTTAGACCAAAGTGGGTGTGAATCTGACTACAGTCCCACTGCAGACAGGGTGAGTGGCAGGACCAGAGAACTGGCTTCTGATGGCTCAGGTATATCCCCCAGGAGAGCCCATGCCGGCATCACCATCACCTTCCTCACAGCAGGTACCGCTGCCAGTAGGGAAGCGGTCCCGCCAGTGGTTTGCCCTCCATCTCCTTTTCCTTGGAGAAACCCAGAGCAAAGGAGGTGTGGGGGGATGCAACCAAATAAGTGAATTGAGGCCCTTTCCATGCACTAAGTTATTTACTGTCCAGGCCATTGGGAGACCTCCCCGGTGCCATCCCTGGGGCAGGAGCTCTCACCACCACTGAGGGTGGACTCTTCTCTTCACTCTTGAAGTTTGACCACTGCTGAGAAGCACAGTAATGCTATTAGCTTGTGCGGATTTGTACTGCCTTTCGAAGGCAAGAGCATCCATAGAGTCCGATGATCTTTGCACCTTCCTTGAGGCACTAGGATATCTCAAAGCTGTTGCTGAAACACCCAAATCCAGTCCTTCCAAATGCCACCGAGTCAGAAGAGGTTCATCAGGTGCCAAATCCCAAGGAAGCTGTCTAGGGTATCTGGCACGGGGCAAGGGAGAACTGGGCAGGGGGCACAAGAGAGTATCTGCTAAAATCCCACAAAACATTCCTTGTTAACCAGAACTCTGGAAGTTATTCTGCCTGCTGGCCAGGTTTGGGAATTTAACATAATTTAAGGCACCCTTTTAAATAAAAAACCTCCCCTGCTGCTCATAACTCTTGCTTCGTTTGTCAGAAGGGGCAGCAATCAATGATTCTTGATCCGGTGATGCAGCTAAGTTTTAAAGATAGGCGAGCTGAACTGGCTTAATCTCGTACACCTCATGCTCTTGAGTGATGGGAAGCGTAATGCTAGCTCCCTTCCCACCTGCATTTTCAGGGCTCGGTGCCCTTTCTTTTCACACGCATTTCACTGACACTGACGCTTTGCCCAAATATATTCAGCTTCCATTGCTTGGGGGGAGGGGGGAACAGGATAACATTCACTGCTTTGCATACAGCTATAAGCTTCGTATGTATTTAAGCTGTCTATAGGTATCCATCCTTTCCATGCTCTAAAGTATTTTACTATTTTCTTTATTGATATTAAACACTGACTCAAAAAAAAAAAAAAAAAATCTATGTCCAGTTCAGTTCGCCTATGGTTAAAGTTTAGCCTGGTGTTTATTTTGTACTAATATGGAATGCACTTGAGTAATTCCCAGAGCGTTGAGGAGGTGTATTACAATAACCTGATATACCTCTGCTTTTGGTTTGTTTCTTTTTAAAACAACAAAAAAAAATGCTTTGCATTTTCATGTTGAACCCGTTAAAAAAAAAAGTTTAAAAAAAAAAAAGTTGAAAAAAAGAATTTTTAAAAAAGAGGGTAAAACCTAATTGCTGTATGTTAATTTGTAATTATGTAAAAAGTGAGCAGGTTATTGACTGTAAAATTCTTCAGTTTTTCTGTAACTTGCCAGAAACCATTAGGTTTTGTAACAAGCTTTTATTTATCTTCC